GAAAGCACAAGTTTGCTTACTTGAAATACAGACAGTTCAGAAATAAGTTGCAAGTGGAATCTTAGATTGCTGTGAGATGCTGAAAGAACAGTAGGCATCTGTGTGATCAGAAATTGTCACGACGACAGGTACAAGGCAGGGAAAGAACGTGGCATACAAGTAGTGCTAAATGAAAAGAAGAATTGATTTTGCTTTTATTTATCTATGACTTAAAGGCATTTTTTTCTAGTGAAAATCTTCATTATTTGATCCTAAGTCTGTTAAGTTCATGAGAATGACAATTTTGTTGCCATGAGATATACAACAGGAGGAAAATCCCCACTGGACTTCCTCACCTTTTTCCTATCAGTGCCACTGTATGGGAGAGGGTAGAGTAAAAAGTCAGGTGAGTAAAAGAGAAGGCAAATCTCCCTGGGCATCACATATATGTGCAGAGATAATGAACATGTGGCCTGAATACTATCCGTAAACATTTGGCCTAAGATCCTAGTAAGAATAAGCTGTTTTACCATCTGAGTCATTAATCAATCATTTATAGATAGATAGGTAGACAGATAGATAGTTATAATCAAACTTTTTTTTCAATATAAGACTACTGAGGAAGAGAGTTTAAAGAGAGAATCTGTTTCCTAATCAATGTCAGAAAAAGATCAATACCAGGCAGCATGCGTCCCTCCAGGCTGGTTGAGGACCATGGAATTTAAAGATAAGCTGGCTTTGCCTTAAAACTGGCTCTAAATGATGAGATAGCGACGGAACACATATCAGAAAGAAGATGACATGACATCACCTCACTGAAAACCAACCAGCCTTTTATGCAACAAATATTCCCAAATCATGACTTCCTGGCCCAGGGTTGGCTACACTGGATTCAGAAAACTATTATCTGACTTCTGGAATGAAACTTCTGACATATTCCCACTTCTATTTTTCTTTGCAAATCTCAGGTGAAAAATGTTATCTCCCCTCTGCCCAAACATTCCCCTTCCCAAGATGTTAGTGCTGGTCTCGCCTGCTCACAAACATAGGTTTCTTTCCTTTCTCATCTTGAGACAGTTAAAAGTCTTAGGATTGGGGGTCATTATCCACAACTTGTATAATTTTTTTTTATTTTTGATTTTTTAAAGTTTCAGTAGCTTTATGGGGTATAAATGCTGTTTTGCTACATGAATGTATAGCACAGCAGTGAGGTCTGGCTTTTGGGGTGCTCGTCACCTGATTTGTTGAATTGCTCTGAGGGCTTCCATGGGCCTAGGGGCAGAAGGAAGGTGTGGTTGTGGCACACAGTGGGGCTACAGCCACCCCTGGACACCCTGGAATGATCGTCCCCTGGTGCAGGTGCTCTATCTTCCTGATGGGAACAGGGAGCTGTCATTTAGTGCGGAAAGTATGTGCTGTGGTCTCCTTGGTCCCCAAGGGCCCTTGAGGATGTTGTACTCTCCTCTTACCTGGGGACAGTCGGCCTTGAATGTCCAAAACTCCAGGATTCCACAGTTCCCCTTGGGACCCACTAGCTCCCTGTGGCTTCTGCAGTCTAAATGAGTGCTGGAGAATATTTGATGGGGATCCAGTTATACAAAAACCTACTAGCTGAGATTCTCTGGCCAGGCAGCTGAAAATAGATTGTACTCTAAGTGTAAAACTGGGCATAGCGAGCACCCTATTAGGGGCAGCGCAGACCCCCACAAGCCCAGGACCCTCTATTTCCTGACACAACCCACCCAATCCCTCTGAGAACTGTCACAGCTACGCCTGCACCAGTCAATGGCAGGAGGTGAAATCCTCATCTGCTGTCCCTTCCTGGACAGCAATGTCACTTGTCTTCTGAGGTAGGCTGACCCTCCTCCCCTACTGACCACACTCACCACGTGTTTCCCCTGAGAGGGGCAAACACAACTTCAGATCACAGCTGTTAGATCTCAGAGGAAGCAAGGCGTGCACTCTGGTTTCCTCTGTCCCTGGGATGCTGTGGCTCACTGAACTTTCCTTCCTTTTCCTCTAGGGACAGCCCAGTCTGGGAGTGAGGGCTCCGGAATCCCACAGCTCCCCTGGGTCCTATGGGACCTTTGCAGTTGTCATGGTCTGCAAGGGTGCTGGGGAACATTGGTGTGGATCTGGGGATAAGGAGACAGAAGGGCTGAGACTCCCTGGGCAGGACAGAGGCCCAAAACGGTGGCACAAACTGTATGGCAGCCATCCCCTCAGTTTGGGTCTGTGGGGAAGAGAAATGACCCTGGCAGTCTGACAAGCTGTGCTCTGTCCTTTAAGAAGTCCCCAATCACTGACCACAGCACTACTTGAGCTGTGAGAGCAGAGGGGCTCTCTGACAGGGTGGGAGCCGGCAGTCTGCTTCAGAAGCTAGGGGAGCAAAAACGAGCACCCCATTTCCCTTTTCCGTAAGGTGGACAATAAATTCTTGGGGATTCCTCTCTCCCCAAATCATATTTCTTCTTATTCTGTGCCTCAGTTTCTTCCTGTGGGTTCTCCAGCAGGTTTGGCACGCTCCCCTCGTTATCCCACGTGGGCCCCACTTACTCACCTGCATTTTTTCTTCTTTTGCGAAGAGAACTGGTGACTGATGTCTCCAGTCAGTTCTCTTGAACTAGATTTGTTCCTGTATCTTACAGTTTTTAAATATTTCTACATTTAATTTTATGTTTAACAGTAAAAAAAAATTGATTCTATGATAAGAAAGTTTGGAAATGAGGCTTGAATATTATACTTTAGTTAGTATTATATTAGTTTCTAACTGGACAACTGTAGGTCAAATTTGTGTCCTGAAAGAGTAACAGGAAGAGTCCAGATTCCACTCCAACTTCTGGAATTCCTCTACATCTAGACAGAACTTCTGGAATGCCTAATGTTCTGAATACTCCTGGAGAGTTTCTCATAAAATTCAACCTGAGAAAAAGTTATTGTTGCTCCAATTTTTGCACAAGAATAATCTGATAGTCAATTTGTGTTATTTTTCAAAGTAAAATTCACTAAATACTGGTCTGTGATTCCAATATTTGTGCTTGTGTTTTAAGCGTAAAACACTAGGGCTACTTTTAAGAAAGAACCAAAATTAGTTGATCAATTAGGAAATTTTTACAAAATTTCAGAATTCATAGGATAAAGTCTGGAGTAAGCCTTTAGGATATAAGCCAACAAAGCACTCTGTCAATGACATAGGGGGTGGATGTTTGGTTAAATATTGAATATGGGTGTGAGGAGCAGGAGAATTCAGGGATTATTACAAGCTTTATAATTTGGAAGATGCGAAGTGAATTAAGTATTACAGGCAAATATGTTTAGTAAATACCAAAATCCAGATGTCAATTTGGAATATAAAGAATGACCTGTGGAACAGTCAGTTGGATACCACTTATGGCTGCCACATCCATGTCTTTAGATGCTTGTAAAGATTGTAAGTCACTTGGGGACTTAGTCTCACTCAAACCCCAAGCTAGCGAAACCCTACTTGGTAGGTTGTGTGTATTAGTCACTGGGGTTTTAGAACTGTCTGATCTTCAGCTATGTGTTCTGTTGTCTGCCTGCCTTAAAGTAATCATGGCCCAAGTTAAAATAATACTGTACAATAGTTATCCTACTTGGATGGCTTATCTCACAAACTGATCAAGCAGGGCTGTCATTAAGCTGGTTGCCAAGTGTCAGGAGCCTCTGAATTCTATGATTCCACCCATGTGCTTCCCCTGGATGCTCTTGCCTTCCTGGATTGACTTGAAATGTCACCAGTTTCACACTCTTCTTTCAGCCTAACAGGCCCTCTCTAAACTTTATCTATGCCCCACTCCCCTGCCCTGTTTTTTTACCTATGCTTACTTGGAGGTTTCTCTTTGAAAAAGGCCCACTTCTGGATTATGGTATCACTCAGGAAATCTGTGAGAAATATGCATTTTTGTCTCTCTAACCTGAGGTAGGTTACACAATTGTAAGCGGACATTCAAAACATGAAAACAAGCTCAGAGAAGCTAACTCCTAATCCATCAAATCAGAAACCATTCTGTGAAACACTGAACCATTTGTACATTCAAGTGTCACAAAAATATACGGAATGTTGTAATCATTATGTTCCCACTTAACTAAACATCTAATTGCTTAGGAATGCTTCTCTTTGTCCGTGATTAGATACCTATGAAGTATACGCCTTCATGGGAAGGAGAGAAAGAAAGAAAAGGAGAAGAATAAAGAAGGAAAAGAATAGATTCTTTCATCATTGCTTGGTTGTTACATTCCTATACTTTTAATCTAGTTCACCTAGGATACTTCAAAAAATATTCCTTCCCCCCCCCCCAAATAGCTATAAATACTTCTCAACAAAGTAGAGAACAACTTGACTTGATTAGCTTTACCTAATAATTTTTACAGTAGTATTTTTAAACATTTTCAATCCCATTATCTCATTATACACTATGGCATAATCCACAGTCCTAAATATTTCATTTATTGGCTCCCACATAGAAAGGGACTAAATTATTAGCCACATTTTCTATGGATGAGAGCAATGAATTCTCACTTTAAAAACCTATTCCATAGTTTAGATAGGTCAAAATATTCACTTGCCAATATCATAAAATAATATAGATGCAGAGAAAATTTATCAAATGAGAAAAGTATTCCCACAAAGTGGAATATAGCTGGATAGTCTATTAATACTCTTATGCAAACAGAGGTGAGGATCAGAGGGTTTCTGATATGGCATAAATGAAAGCAGTGTTTCCTGAGGAATAATAGTAGGGTATTCTTTGGAATTCAACAAATCTGAGTTCCAATTCTGCATTTGCCACATTGCCACATTCTGGCTGGGTAACCATCAACAACCAGCTTAATCTTGAATCTCAATTTCATCATCTGTAAAATGGAACCATAGTATCTACTTGCTTGAGTCAATGTGAAGATTTTTTTAAAAATGTATGTAATATATGTAGTGTGATTAACTTAGTACCTGGCCTATAGGAAATTACTTTATAAATAGCTTTTTATTTTATTAAATTCAGTCTCCATAGAGACTGTCGAAAATTGCCAGTGCTGACTATATTGCAAGTCGTCGTGGCAGGTATTGGGAAAAGTTCTCTATTAGCAACAATCGCACCTCGGATAAACCTCATTGGCTACGATACTGCCACTGAGCAAAGCTATATAAATAGCTTTGTAATATTATTTTTCCAGGGATGATATTTTAATATGTAGTTATGGAAAGCTAGGCAGACAATTACTGAGTGGAAAAGAGAAACTGAGAGGGCTGCGGTGGGGAGATGACGAGAAACACTCTAAACAAGCACTTCCCACATGGCACCGCCACTGCCCGTGCCTATAGAAACCTTAATTGCATCTTTTAAAAATACTTATCTAACATACTAATTCAAACCTGGTCATTTACCAGAAGTATCCTTCTTCAGACGATTCATACACAGGTAACTATAAATGAGATCAGCTGACTTCTTTGTCATTCTATCCTAATAGGCACAGTAAACTCACATAAAAGTGGACGATGGACAAAGGAAACAAGGACAAAATGACTTACTGTTTCCTGCTCTGGCTTAATTCCACTCTTATTGGCCCTTTTAATCACATAATTAGATTCATTGCTTTGTTTTCTTGGATGTAAGATTTCTTAGATAAGTAGATATTGTTCTTTCATTACTATGAATTTGGATGTGCAACCTTTGTGTCTGGCATAGATTATCGACAGCATTCCCCACTCCACCCTCATTTCTCTACCAGGCTTTGGGAATGGTCAGAGAAATGATATCTATGAAGACACAGTCTACATGAGTATAAATTTCAGTGTCAGAATTGAAATGAATCATGTTTTAGCCAGAATGGGGGTTCAACTTGCTCTTCATGAGTTTCTCTCTTGCAAAACTTAGAAAGTGTGGACAGGGATGGCTGCTGTTGTTTGGGAAATAGCCCAGCCTGAAAATGCCCATGATGAGCAGATTTACTTTGGTGCCTTGATAAAATTATGTTTCCTTATACTGGATCATTTACTTTCATTTCCATTGCCTGCTCTGCCCTTACTGTGTGGTGGGAAGCTACAGAGGATCATATTTACACCTTGGGCTGATTAGGAAAAAAATCAAAGTTAGCACCTGTTCTTCCTGTAAATGGGGCAAAATCTGTTCTTCATGTGACCTGCACAGTGTATTTCAACTTGGTCAGCATCTGAGAGCCGCATGAGGAGCTTCACGCGAAGTGCCTCGGCCTGGCTCCCACTCTACACCAGCCAAACAGATGAGAACTTAGTGGGGGGAGCGCAACATGAGTATACTTTTATGAAAAGATCTTTAAATTATCCTACTATGTAGCCAGGTTTGTGGATCCTTTTATGTAGTCTTAATTCTCTTAAGTTGTGGTCTTATACGTATTTGGGGCTTAATTTAAATCAGGACTAGGGTAATGCTATATTAAGCCTCTGTGTGAATTTTTTTATTGTGCTTTCAAATGAATGAAAGGCAGTGACTTGTAGATAAGATGTGAGTAATCAGGTTCCTGAGTTATCTACCACTTCTCTCTATATCTCACTCGATAGAACTCTACATATTAAGCATATGCATTTACATTTAGTTATTTATTAAATATAATTTGAAAGGTAATATATAATTATATTTAATTATTTATATATTTATAATACATAAAATACTATATACTTACATTTTTATTTATAAGGAATTGTGGGCACTGGCTAAGCAGCTACACGGTTGTCCCTATATCAAATGCTGTAGCCTGGACTCTGTAGACATATAGCAAAGAATTATGTGTAGCCTGGGACCTTGTACCTTGAGCAGAAACTTAGCAAGGATGGACTGAAACCCAAGTCAATTCTTGTTTCTTCTCACCCAGCAAAGTATCCTGCCGAAACTGGGCTGGTACCGTCATGGTCCTAAACACACACAATACATGTGACCCAAGAGTTACAGAAACTGAGAGTTCCAATGAGAAAATAGAACAATTGCAGGCCTGGCCTCCACTCCACACCAGCAAGGTGAGTCAGTAGGTCAGCAGCAACAAGCTAAGTGGGGGCCCAGAAAGATTCTACAGTTTTCTCTTATCTCTGCATCCTGGAGTCTCTGCATCTCTGTGTCTCTGATAGATGGGCTTAGTCCCTTTTGAAAAGGCTTACACATAATTATATCAAGATAGCAGAGTATGTTACTTTTTGATTAACTCAAAATCAAGTGATAAAGGATTTTAATTATGTTGGCAAAATCCTTCTAAGCCCCTATACTAGTGTTGATTGAATGACTGGGAAGGGGTGTATGTTTCATAGTGGTAACCGCCTTTCTCAACTTGCCAAAAAAAATCCCTCTTGTTGTTTACCCTCATCAAAAAAAGCAAAACAGAAAACTAGAAAGAGAATTTTGGTGAACATATTTCACCTAGTCAAGGTGACATATCACAAAGCCATCACCCATGGCTTCTATGAATCAACAGCAGTAGCCTACATACTTCTAGGTGTGAGGGAATCCTCATGCACAGCTTCTCAAGAAATATCTTACACTAGAGTACCTAAACCATGTGACTGTGGAAGCATCGCTTCAAATTTGGTGAGTGCCACTCTTCTAACGAGAGGCAGCTCAGACCAAACTTCACATTATCCTTATCCCTTGCTTTTCTGTTTATGTTCTTTGTGGCTTCCAAGTTACATAGGGCTAATTACTAGTATTGGGATTCCAAATGACATCTTCTTAGTTTAGTTTTCTTTCCTTTATGTTTCTGTCACTAGAATAAGGAAACCAAAATGCTATTGATTTGTTAGAGCATTTATACAAGCATCCCAGAACTCCTGGGAAGTGCTTAACACTGCTGATAGGAGAAGCCTGGCTTTTTTGAAGTGTGGTCAATTTGCTTGTGGGATTGAATTGATTGTGCAATGATCTGTTCAATTGCTCACTCACTGGACTGCAAAGAATCGATCCAGTTAGTCACACAGGTATACCTGCTGCTCTCACTAATCGCTGTAAATGAATTCAGTTTTTACATAAAATAGTCATAAAAAGAAGGATTCAGCAAAAAAGACAAATTCAAGAGCTCTTTAGGAGGAAATCACTCATTCTCTCCCACTCATATGGTAGATTGGTTTGCAACTACAACTGCCTAGACCATGTGTTAGAAAGATAGAGATACTTTCATATTCTTAGAATGGACTAATCCTAATCAAATTCATGGAATGGCATTTTTTTTTCTCTTGTGCACCAGGTCTACCCTATAAACAAATACTGTTAAAAAATATATTGGTAACTGCATTCTGGTGGATAGTAGCTAATTATTTTCTTCCATCTCTCTCTTCTAAACTGTTATGAATCAGCTTAAAGACTTTTAAACCTTTATGATTTGAAGAACCTATTTTAACCTATTTTAAGGTGGACAAAATACTAACCTGGATTAAATTAAAGAAGCAATTTTTAATGATGGAATTTAAAGTATAATTAGCAAGTGAAAATAAATACATAAACACAATTCGTAGACAGAATATTTAGGCTTTCCTAAGCGGGGGCTCTCAAACTGCCTAGAAATTTTTAAATTGTTCAGAATTTTTATATAATGCTTGAAAGGAGGTACATATCTCTAGATTTAGCAAATATGGCAATGGTGTAGATAAATTATAAGAAGAGTCATTAAAATGCTTTTAAATTTGACACCCTAGATTTATGACATGAAGTAATTTAAACTTAAATTCAAATATCCACCTTACTTTAAGATATATTTTCTGTTCTTTAGTTGTTGTTGTTATTTACTTCATAGTATTTTGTTGTTTTGAAAACCTAAGGGCAATAATATATTGGGAACAGCTGCAGATATTATATTACACTGTATTTGAATAGGCTGATGTCACGTTTAAATAATTTTTACATTATAACCAGGCAGGGGCAAACAATTCTTAAAGAATATGTGTCAATTATTTCTGCACTCACCATGCAATATCGATTGACACTGAGAAGCCTCTAACCCTAGTGACAATTTGTGATGCAACTCCAGTGCAATGATAGCCTGTGAACAGGTGACCCTAGTTGTGGGCTATGCAGAATACTAATGTGATGCTTGTTCTTGTGTACATTCCCCTGATGTTCAAGCCTTTCAGTGGATAGTATTTGACCATTCTGTAATAGTTAATAAATAGCTATTTCATTCAGGCATCTAATAAATAGCTATTTCATTCAGGCATCTAAAGCATAGGGTAATAAACCTGAATTAGACCTCAAGTTCTTTCAGGGCTAACATGTAATCCATCTTCATTGAATTAGGATTGATACAATATTTTTGCCCTATTACCACCCAACTTCCATCTTTCTGGATCTGCCTTGGATTCTGTGGCTTACATTAAGCCACATTTGATTTCTCCAATATGATAGCTGTTCCTCTCCTAATGCTCTAATTTAAGTTGTAGCTCCCTCATGGCATATATGCCGCTACTCCACCTTATGCTGTGTTTGTTAACATGGAGGTAATTATAACACCTGCTTTGTATACTGTTATGAGGACTAAATGAGTAAAACTATGGGAGGTTCTTAAATGAGTGTCTGGCATATAGTACATGAACATGCTACACGGACGTGGCAGCTACTAACATCGTCATTATTTATGCTGTTAGAAGCCCTTTCCCACTTTATAAAGCAATTCGTTGGGTTTTCTTCTAGAACATTCATGCTTCACTTTTTACTTTTTTTTTGACCTTTTAAATTTAAAACTATTTCATGGACAAATAAAAATTGTATTATTTCAAGGTAAAAAATAGTATGCACAAATGTAATGCATTCACTTGCTAGATCTTGCATAATATAAAACCATACTGTTTGTTATTCTTTTGCAAATCCATAAACCACTAGAAGAACATATTTCATAGACAATTTCTGTCCATCTTCACTAAGTTTTGAAAGACAATGCAACTTGCATGGAATTTAGTGCTCTAATGCACCTTAGAATTTAGGTTTTTACCATAACCAGCTGTATAGATTATATGCAGTTGCCATTCCTATCCTAAATAAGTATACTTCAAAGCCACCCAGAACACTTAATTATAGGTGTTCATGTGGGCATGCGAATTTATCTCCTTTGTCTTCTATAGCTTTGTGAACATTATACAGAAAAAATTATAAATCTGCAAGATATAAAAATAAGATGGAGGTCATTAGTTGT